ATATAGCCTCTCCTCACCCCCCGTCCCTTGGGCGGCCACTGAAGATACTTACCTCCTACGGCCTTCCCCTGGCAGTGCCCAGGGACTACCCAAAACAGGGGCTTCTGGAAGGGCAAGGACCCACTACTCCAGGACAACTCCATCGGCATGTGCTGTTTCCAAAGATTTACTCGGCTAATTACTTCCTTAACGTTTCCTGCGTTCCCACTGTTCCGTCTGCACAAGTCACCACTCAGCAAACGCGACAAGGCTGTTAAAGACCACATGCCTCCCTGGCACCTTCCACGGTTTAACGAGCAGCTAAAAAAAGCCGCCCCCACTGTATGACCATGAACTGCCGAGCTGTCACGGCACAAAGCTGGCTTGCTCGCAGGCACCTGAGTCAGCGGCTGCCATCAGGCAAAGGGCTGCGGGTGGCAGGGACATTTCCCTAGCAGGTCCAGGTCTCTGAAGCAGCACACCCAGCCTGGCGGGACGGGGGAAGCCTTCCTCTCCCCTCCTCCCTCTGTAGCCATGCAGGGTTTCGCTGCTACTTTATCGTTACCCAAGTACATTTGCACATAGACAAGGACCGCAGAAATCCTCCCACCAACCTCACCTGGATTGAAGGTCCCACAAAGGATGCTCTAGGCCTGTGAGAGGAGGTAACTGTCCACTGTCATACACATACAACAAGTTTTGTATGTACATTACAGCGACAAGGAAAAAGGAAAAGGCCCGCCCTCACCGGGAATGCTCTTTAAGCAGGAGACCCTGGCATTGCTGCACTGCTGTAAAAGCTTGTGGAACCTGATTAAACACAGCTTTATGGAACATGATTTTAGATAGGATTAAAACTGTTGTAGAAGTTGTTCACGGGACCAGAAGTAGATCCCCAAAGGCCAGTCTCTTCTGCAGAATTCTCTATGGAAATACAGGGACGGTCAACCTACAAGTCTGCGACTCAACAGTGTCTTTAGAAAGAAAAGACCATCAGCCAGGGAAACCAGCTGTGCTGGACCTTCCGTGGGGAGGGTTTAATTTAAAGTTGTAGTAGGTTCCCTCGAGGACAACTCCCAGATAATTTATTGCAATGCATATGATGATTAAGTTAATACAATGGAGCAGAAAATACAGCACACTATGTAGGAGGCAAAAATGCATTCTTGGTATTTACAGACAAATGTTTGCAATTGACGGATGACATTTGGTGCGTCACGGCAACACTGCAGCGCCAGTAACAGAGAGTAGCTGGGCAAACGCAAGTACGAGCTGGCCTAGAAAACAAATGAAAATCAGGGCTTTGCCCTAAGTACATCTGAACTAAGAGAGAATGTGAACGTCTGCCACAGGAAGTGTTCTGGAACAAATTCCCATCTCAACACACACATTTGGGAGTGCGAATGCCTTGTTCGTTAACTCAACAACGGCTTTCCAAACTAGATGAAGCTAAGCTAGAAAAAGGGCATTTATGTTAGAATCGGTGCATCTAAAATGTGAGCAACTGTAGAGTAACTACTGATTGGTCTCCAAGACCAAAAAGGCCTTCAGGCAGGAGGTCTGAATGCTTTTGTGCTGGACAGGACAGCAGGTTGTGGTTGGATTACTGGTGGCAGACCTCGGGTCAGCAGCGAGTCATTACCACTTAGGGTGGTTTGCACACCAAGTGCATTACCTGCTCTGCCATTCCCAGCACCACCGCTTAGATGGGAGCTCCTGCAAGGGGGGCTCTTCCCTCTCCCTCCCTCGATTATGTTTTGTGTGTCAGCAAACAAGGGAACACCCCTGGAAACACCACGGGTCTCACCAGGTGATGGAGGAAGACTCTGGTGGTCTTCTCCCTCCCAAAGCAGCCCTGGCTCTCCAGGTCAGCCTACTCATTTCAGAGGGTTTTTATGGGGCGAGAGAATTGGTTGGGTGAGCAGCGGTGGTAGCGTCTGCTGTCATCAGGCAGCAATAAACCCTTCCCTTTCCTAGAAAAATAGGCAAGAGGGGATACGAGCACAGGCTGCAGAGGCCTTTGCCAAGTGACCCGAGCCTTTTTCCACGCATTCTTGAGCGCTAACATCAAGGACAAACCATGACAAGCTGGATGTTCTGAAGACAAGCCACTCCGGACTGATAAAATCAGAAGTAGTTGGATCAGGAACCAGGAATGCGTATTTCTTTTGCTGTCATGTAGTTACAGAACTGCTTATTTATGCATAAAATACATAAATAAAAGGACTTGAATGCCCCCAAAGGTCACCAATGGGGTGAGAAAAACCTTTTTTGGGAAAAAAATCAAGTAGGAGCAAGAGGAACAAGTAAAATTCTGGTCCGTTTATATGCCCCCTTTGGATAATCGCTAATGACACAGGGTCTTTCTCCTGGACAGTAACTTCTTAACACAAACATGCTAGATCTAGTGTTCCATTGCCAAGTTTCCTCCTTCACACGCAATTGAATAAAACTCGTTATTATCATCTTATCACCAGCAAATAACCAAAAAGTAAAGATCTGGTCAAGAGAAGGCAGCCTTCTAGGATCCAGGGGCTTGTGAATGGCATGTTGAAGCTCTGGGGGGAGAGTGTTTGCTTTTTAGACATCAGGTGTCTGTACAAACCCAAACGCAACTGGGAATTTGTCAGAACAAATGGCAGCCGTAATTCTGACACTTGTACCTCTATAACCAACCTGCTGGGGCGGGTGGAGCAATGCGCGGATCCTGCACGCGTGGGAAGGCAGCGACAGCGCAAGGAGAGGGGCTTCTCCAGCCCGAGCGCCTCTCATTTACGACAACTACGTCTGCCACCAGTAAAGTTAGAAACCATTCACACCGTGTGTGGTGTTTCCTATCATGATTTGTAAATACAGTTGAGGACCGACATCTCTACTGACCAGTGCAGGAGGTGCGGAGGAGCGATGGAGCTCGTCTGGGGTTGCTGAGAGGCTGTGGCAGAGCCATAACAGGAGTCAGTGCTCCACAGACCCAGATCAGAGCCCTGTGCCATAGCAAAGCTGCTCATCGAAATACACCCATAGGTGGGATTTCACGAGTGCTCAGTCAAGACCCCCAACCTCCTGGCTCCACCGGCATCCCTCCGGGTGGCAGGCCTGCCCTTGGGCGCATCGATGGCATCCCAAAATACAAACCCGTCCCAGACACTGCTTACTCAGCCCAGGTTTTGTTCGCCTGCCGTGACCTGAGCTGGCCTTCCAGACCCATATTTCCCAGCAGGGTTCCCCGGCTCGGGAGAGGGGAGGTTAAATAGCTCAGCACGTCCACGTCTCCAGCAGCTCCCATCCCCACTTCCACATCAGCGTGTCTGTTCCCTCGCGCTCAGCCCCGCCGTGGCTTTCCCCAGACGCAGTCCCGGAGCGCAGCACCTTCGCAGGACAGAAGCTCCTGCCTTGTGCCGTCGCCCCTCAGTGACCTGAACACTTCTGCACCAAAATAGTGGTGTTTCCTGGGGACGACTTTTTTTTTTTTATGATGCAAAAAAGGCTCGTATGGCAGGGTGCTGAACTACAAATATCAGGTTCGTTTAGAGACAGCTTCCGTCAGAGCTGCCAGCACAAATGACTTCTGCGACTGCCTCCCACGCCTCCCCCCAGGGCCAGGCACGGCCCGTGCCCCGATGAGCCCCGCTCTCTGCCAGGCGCGTTGGCAGGCGGCTCCTCCGGCTGACCCAGGCCTCCCACTGGCAAGGCCAAACCATGTTTTCTACTTGCCAAGATTTCACTGCCCGAGACTGACGTTGGAGAGGTCTCGCAGTCACTTGGGGCACGTGGTCTGTGTTCACCCTGCAGCTGCCTGAGCTGATTTAGGCTAAAATGTACTCCTTGTCTTCTAAACTTTCAGTGTGCCAACCTCAGCAAAAGAGGGGCAGAGTCCCTTGCAATTGCTGTTCGAGAGCTTCTTCACAGCTGACCTAGCTGTCCCCGCTGCTTTACAGCTTACGCCAGCACAACGCATGGTACGGAACTCACGACTTCGAAGGCAAGGTGCGAGATCCCTGACTTCTACTGGGCTAAGTCAACAGATTTTAATTTATATCAGCTCAGGGTACGGCCTAGCGTTTTTGAAGACACACAGACACGTGAGGCAAGGGCAGCGATCCCACGTGAACGGCGGGAGCCCCTGGCAAGCCCCAGCCTGGGAACTGCTGCACTGGGCACTGCGCAAGCAAAGCCGCAAGGCCCTGGGAAGCGAGCGTGCTGCGCGTCTGCAGCGTCCTGGACCTCAGCCAGGCTTCATCTCTAACCCAAGTCCAAACAGCCGAAACCAGTGCTGGCGGGGGTCTGCCGTGGCAAGCCCCCGCGCCCACGCACCAGCGGCAGGCAGCTCCTCTCCAGCTGGGCAGCAGGAGCGGTGGGAGCAATGCCCCCGGTCCCACGGGGCCAGGACCACACGCAGGGGCAGGACCCAGCTCTCGGGCAGCCAGCTGAGAGCTTGGCATCTCTCCCTCCCCTGGGTATTCTTTCGGTTTTGTTTTAAATACCAACACATCTGAACTCTCTTGTGCATTTTTTCTTTCCCCGCCTGATGCTTAGGAAGTTTCTAAGTTTGGAGTTAATGGCATATAAAACTCAGAAACACCTCGTGGATCAATATTTCCATGCAAAAGCCAAAAAATAAAAGGTCATCATCTTCCAAGTCCCAGGAGAACTGAGGAACGCGCCCAAAGCCACAACTGAACCAAAGCACTGTGCCCTACTTGGGCAACGAACAACGTCCCAACCCTCTCGCAGTCTCTGACGGCTGGATCCCACCTCACGGGCAGGGTTTCTCAGCCGGAGCACGTCAGCAGCGAGCGGCAGAGCACAGGACAAGCTGACGAGCTCTGCTGGGCTCATTACCTGGAAGCCCACACTGCAGCTGGCACCACCGGGGAGCCCGCAGCGTGGGGCTGGATTTGAGAATTGCTGCTCTAGAGAACGTGCTCCTCGCTAGGTCAGAAATTGCCTCCAACTTTAAGAAGCGGTATGACGCACGTGTA